GTGTTCCTTGGTCTTCATGATGCTTTTTGTTCACTAATGTTCTCTAACAAACCTCTGAGGGCTTCACAGAACAGCTGTATTTATACTGAGATCACATGACACACAGGGGGACTCTCTTTACTAATTAGGTGACTTCTGAAGGCAATTGGTTCCACTAGATTTTAGTTAGGGGTATCAGAGTAAAGGGAGCTGAATACAAACGTCGCCACACTTTTCACATATTTATTTGTAAAAAATGTTGAAAACCATTTCTCATTTTCCTTCCACTTCACAATGATGTGGCACATTGTGTCGGTCTATTACATCCAATCCCAATAAAATACGTTTAGATCTTTGGTTGTAACCTGACAACATGGGGAACATTTTGATGGGTATGAAGACTTTTTCAAGGCACTATAAATCTCTACTGATGGGTAAGTGGGCAGGGTGATGCATATAATTTCTTTTTGCCCTTTTTTATATATTTGTGTATCCACATTTATTATATATTAATGTATAGCATAGATGTTGCCATCATTTTACAAAGCCAGCATTACCTTTAATACAGCAGTTTCAGACATCAGGGCAAAATATGGCCTTACCCCTGGTTCACACTTATGTGTTTTTCTAGTGCATTGTAGTCCATTTGACATGGTTTCTTATGGATCTAGGTCTCATCTGTGCATTTTGAACCCGGTGCGTTTTTTTTTGGAAAGGGTCAGTAGATTGTGTTTTTTGTGTAATAGATTTCAATGGATCCACACCAAAAACACAGATGTATGACACTTCTGTTCATGTAGTGTGACCAGGGGCGGATTGACAACTCATGGGGCCCCGGGCAATAGGGGATCACGGGGCCCCTGTGTCCTTGCCCAAACTCAAAAAGGCCTATGAAAAAGGTACCAGGGGCATCTCATGGGGCCCCCTACTGACCCCGGGCCCTCGGGCAGTGCCCGAGTTTCCAAATGGTCAGTCCGCCCCTGAGTGTGACTTTCGCTGGCACTCAAGTAGCACCAAAGTCACATCAAAGTAGGACAGTGGGATCAATTCACAAAGTTAACACCCCAAGAAAAATGTACTTCTTTGCAAAAGAGTGATGGTTATTGTAGCATACTAGGAGTGCAGAGAGAGAGCACACGGAGACAGATTGCACGGAACCCGACGTGTGGGCGTTTATTGGGGAGTTTTTCGGGCTACAGACAAGAAATCCATTAGTCCACAGATCCACACCAGACACAGCAACACAGTAAAGTTCTCAGGAAGGCAATATGGGACAACAGGGGCAGATAGTCCACAGAGTTCAATAGGACAGAGGGTCGAAGGTTCTGTGGGAGTTGGGGTTCATGGGGAGAATTGGGCTCAGTCTTTCAGGCAGCATGGAGTTAGTCCACTTACTAGATGCGGGAAGCTGGACACGGAGGGTTTCGGTCCACACAGATAACACAGGGTCAATCCACACAGGCAGTTGCAGGCAGCAAAGGGTTAAGTCCACCAAGCTCACGGGAAGCAAAGGGTTAAGTCCACCAGGCTGACGGGCAGCAAAGGGTTAAGTCCACCAGGCTGACGGGCAGCAAAGGGTTAAGTCCACCAGGCTCACAGGCAGCAAAGGGATAAGTCCACCAGGCTGATGGGCAGCAAAGGGTTAAGTCCACACAGAGGAGCTCCAGGCAGCAGAGAGTTAACCCCACACAGGGGAGGGATCCAGCAGTAGACTGGCAGGCAGTAGAGCCAGTGAGAGGAGAGAAGAGGATTGGAGCAATGAGGAGGCTGGCCCACAGCTCAGACCTCACTCACACACTAGGATCGCAGCCAGGAGAACTACCCGGGACCGGGGCCCCGTTCTGCCTTAAGTGCAGAGTCGGGTGCATTCCCATTGCCGTGGTAACCCGAGACACAGCATCGGGCATCAGGTTACCATGGCAATGGGCAACACCCCCGCATCTCCAGACCCGCACAGGGAACACGGCCTTTGTCCCTGTCAGACACGGAGCGCAGGAGCACGGGATCGCGAGGTGCACAAAGGGACACGAAGGGGGGGGTGACAGGAGGGAGCCTTCACGTGGATTCCTACAGCAGGGGGGCCAACTTTCTGGCACTCGGCCAGGGGATCAGGATGCTCCCTCTGCAGGGGGCCAGATTGCTGGCAGCAAAGAGTGAGGGGCTGCTGGGGGGTGGGGGGTGGCAGGCAGCCGACTGGGGGATGGGGGGAGACCAGCCCTGTGAGTTATTTTTATCTTAGGAATTAGGACAGAGGCCTACAATAAATGCTGAGTGCCAGGATAAGTCGTTTTTTTTTTCAAACAAGTGACAGTTATTTTCATCTTGGGGATTAGGACAGGAGGCTCAACTCATAAAGCTAACACATCTGGAGAAGTAGGCTTATCAAAAAAAGTGCCAGTTATTTTCAGGAGTGTCCGATGAGATTTAAAAATGATAGAGGTGTGGCTAATGTTGAAGTTTTGTGAAATTGTCAGATTGAGGTATGGCTAGACCTCTAAGTTCGCTGTAAATGTTTTTCTTTTTAACCACTTCCTGTCCAGCCCATGTATATAAACGGCCGGAAGGTGGCAGTGCAGGGTCGGGTGGCCATTTATAAACGTCCTCCCCGACCCCTGCTTGTGCGCACTCCCTGGGAGCGCACAGCACCGCGATCTGGTGCCTGCTGTGTCCTCTGGACACAGTGGAGCACCGATCGTTGGGCGGGACCTCTGTGTACGGTCCCGATTCATACGATCCCTGATTGGCCAAACAGTGATCACATGCAGAGTAGTACGCAAGATGTCACTTCTGACATCATTGCTTACTACGTGTGAAATCTGTGAATGATCACAGAGATCACATGGTACAGAGCTATTCACAACAGCCTTGTACCATGTGACAAGCTGTGACCAATCACAGCTCACACAGTATTTCAGGAATGCAGCCAGAAGGAAGGAGAAATGATTGCTTTTACAGCCTTTATGGGTGTAAAAGCAATCAGTGTAAAAAAAAAAAAAATCTTCATCACCCCCCACAAGTAGTACAGTGACACTACTGCTAGGGTGACAGTATGTAAAAAAAAACCCCATAAATAATAATATAAAAAAAAAAAAATGTAGAAAAATTATAATTTTTGGTTATAAACTAATTTGGGTTATTTATTTATTTTTTTACTAAAAACAGGCCTGGACAGGAAGGGGGTGAAAGTGTCTGGACAGGAAGGGGGTGAAAGTGTCCGGACTGGAAGGGGGGGAAAGTGTCCGGACTGGAAGGGGGTGAAAGTGTCCGGACTGGAAGGGGGGGAAAGTGTCCGGACTGGAAGGGGGGGGGAAAGTGTCCGGACTGGAAGGGAGTGAAAGTGTCCGGACTGGAAGGGGGGGAAAGTGTCCGGACTGGAAGGGGGGGAAAGTGTCCGGACTGGAAGGGGGTGAAAGTGTCCGGACTGGAAGGGGGGAAAAGTGTTCGGACTGGAAGGGGGTGAAAGTGTTCGGACTGGAAGGGGGTAAAAGTGTCCGGACTGGAAGGGGTGAAAGTGTCCGGACTGGAAGGGGGGGAAAGTGTCCGGACTGGAAGGGGGGGAAAGTGTCCGGACTGGAAGGGGGTGAAAGTGTCCGGACTGGAAGGGGGGGAAAGTGTCTGGACTGGAAGGGGGTGAAAGTGTTCGGACTGGAAGGGGGTGAAAGTGTCTGGACGGGAAGGGGGGAAAGTGTCCGGACTGGAAGGGGGTAAAAGTGTCCGGACTGGAAGGGGGTGAAAGTGTCCGGACTGGAGGGGGGTGAAAGTGTCCGGACTGGAAGAGGGTGAAAGTGTCCGGACTGGAAGGGGGGGAAAGTGTCCGGACTGGAGGGGGGTGAAAGTGTCCGGACTGGAAGAGGGTGAAAGTTTCCGGACTGGAAGGGGGGGAAAGTGTCCGGACTTGAGGGGGGTGAAAGTGTCCGGACTGGAAGAGGGTGAAAGTGTCCGGACTGGAAGGGGGGGAAAGTGTCCGGACGGGAAGGGGGAGAAAGTGTCCGGACTGGAAGGGGGGAAACTGTCCGGACTGGAAGGGGGTGAAAGTGTCCGGACTGGAAGAGGGTGAAAGTGTCCGGATGGGAAAGGGGTGAAAGTGTCCGGACTTGAAGGGGTTAATAAACCAATGTTGTTGTTACATTGTTACATAACACTGTGTGTACATAGTTTTGTATCTTCACTTTGTTAATCCGATCTTCTTTAATAAAAAGCAGGAATTCCTCCTAATACATGACAGAGTGACAGTTTGATGGACCTCGGGATGGCAGGCGGTATGACGTCGCCCTCATTACTTTCCTCTAGCGGTGAGTTGGACATGCCGTCTCATAGGTAGATGTGCGGCTAATGAGCGGCGTGAGTTGTGTTTGGAGGATCTACCTGACCACTAATCCATACAGCTTTGTAAATCTCGCCCTTCGTAAAAACTGCAATTTAGAAGAGAGACCGGATGGCGTTTTCGAGAGTAACGAGAAGATTTCGATGCCGATACTCATCCGGGGGAACCCTTCCATCTCATTTTGCACTTTGATATTTAATGATCGGGCTGGAGAAGTTGGGCCGTCGTGGAAGTTAATGAGCAGGCTTTGGAACATCGGTAGCCAACCAAGAATCACAGTTCAATGGCTGGATAGAAATTCTGTGTCAATAGGCAGTAAATCAACTCTGAAGTGAGCAAATGAGATGATGAGGGAACTTCCATCACTATCGAACTTTTTATTTTTGGAAAAATATATATATATATTTTTGTTTGTTTCATTTTGAGATGTGCTTAGAAAAGCTGCCGTTCTACACGATGTCTGTTCTCTGTACCGTGGAGGATGCTGCTAAAGTAATTGTCTCTTTACTCGATCGAACGCTCCTCTCCTGAATCAAGATGGCCGTACAAAATACATTTTTTTTAAAAAAGCCAGCTGATTGAAAGAAAAAAAAAAGAATGGATTGCTCCGCTCATTTAAGGTGGGTCGGAAAATTCTCTACAATGTAGCTGCATGTGCTGACTGAAATTTTCCAGCAGTTCCGTTCAAGAAGAGTCAATCACTAGATTGAATCCTCTCAAACAGGAACGACCATAGATGGAACGTATTTTCGACAGTGTCTGCTGAACCAGACCAATTTAGATCCATTTGTGGCCAACTTTACTCTGCACTACTGGAGGACTCTGTACCTTCCTCTATGACTCTCCTCTCCTGAAATACTCTTCTCTGCTGGAGGACTCTACTCCTTCCACTACATCCTCTCTCCTGGACCCTGCATTCACTATATCCGCTCTCCCCGGACCCTGCATTCACTATATCCGCTCTCCCCGGACCCTGCATTCACTATATCTGGTCTCCCCGGACCCCGCATTCACTATATCCGCTCTCCCCGGACCCCGCATTCACTATATCCGCTCTCCCCGGACCCTGCATTCCCTATATCCGCTCTCCCCGGACCCCGCATTCACTGTATCCGCTCTCCCCGGACCTTGCATTCACTATATCCGCTCTCCCCGGACCCCGCATTCACTGTATCCGCTCTCCCCGGGCCCTGCATTCACTATATCCGCTCTCCCCGGACCCTGCATTCACTATATCTGGTGTCCCCGGACCCTGCATTCACTATATCCGCTGTCCCCGGACCCTGCATTCACTATATCTGGTGTACCCGGACCCTGCATTCACTATATCCGCTCCCCCCGGACCCTGCATTCACTATATCCGCTCTCCCCGGACCCGCATTTACTATATTCGCTCTCCCCGGACCCCGCATTCACTATATCTGGTCTCCCCGGACCCTGCATTCACTATATCTGGTCTCCCCGGACCCCGCATTCACTATATCTGGTCTCCCCGGACCCTGCATTCACTATATCTGGTCTCCCCGGACCCCGCATTCACTATATCTGGTCTCCTCGGACCCTGCATTCACTATATCCGCTCTCCCCGGACCCCGCATTCACTGTATCCGCTCTCCCCGGACCCCGCATTCACTATATCCGCTCTCCCCGGACCCTGCATTTACTATATCCGCTCTCCCCGGACACCGCATTCACTATATCCGCTCTCCCCGGACCCCGCATTCACTATACTCGCTCTCCCCGGACCCTGCATTCACTATATCTGCTCTCCCCGGACCCCGCATTCACTATATCCACTCTCCCCGGACCTTGCATTCACTATATCCGCTCTCCCCGGACCCCGCATTCACTATATCTGGTCTCCTCGGACCCTGCATTCACTATATCCGCTCTCCCCGGACCCTGCATTCACTATATCCGCTCTCCCTGGACCCCGCATTCACTATATCTGCTCTCCCCGGACCTTGCATTCACTATATCCGCTCTCCCCGGACCCCGCATTCACTATATCCGCTCTCCCCGGACCCTGCATTCACTATATCTGGTGTCCCCGGACCCTGCATTCACTATAGCTGCTCTCCCGGACCCCGCATTCACTATATCCGCTCTCCCCGGACCCTGCATTCACTATATCCTCTCTTTCCGGACCCTGCATTCACTATATCCGCTCTCCCCGGACCCCGCATTCACTATATCCGCTCTCCCCGGACCCCGCATTCACTATATCCGCTCTCCCCGGACCCCGCATTCACTATATCCACTCTCCCCGGACCTTGCATTCACTATATCCGCTCTACCCGGACCCCGCATTCACTATATCCGCTCTCCCCGGACCCCGCATTCACTATATCTGGTCTCCTCGGACCCTGCATTCACTATATCCGCTCTCCCTGGACCCCGCATTCACTATATCTGCTCTCCCCGGACCTTGCATTCACTATATCCGCTCTCCCCGGACCCCGCATTCACTATATCCGCTCTCCCCGGACCCTGCATTCACTATATCTGGTGTCCCCGGACCCTGCATTCACTATATCTGGTGTCCCCGGACCCCGCATTCACTATATCCGCTCTCCCCGAACCCTGCATTCACTATATCCTCTCTTTCCGGACCCTGCATTCACTATATCCGCTCTCCCCGGACCCTGCATTCATTATATCTGGTCTCCCCGGACCCCGCATTCACTATATCTGCTCTCTCCGGACCCCGCATTCACTATATCCGCTCTCCCCGGACCCTGCATTCACTATATCCGCTCTCCCCGGACCCTGCATTCACTATATCCGCTCTCCCCGGACCCCGCATTCACTATATCCGCTCTCCCCGGACCCCGCATTCACTATATCCGCTCTCCCCGGACCCCGCATTCACTATATCCGCTCTCCCCGGGCCCCGCATTCACTATATCCGCTCTCCCCGGACCCCGCATTCACTATATCCGCTCTCCCCGGACCCCGCATTCACTATATCCGCTCTCCCCGGACCCCGCATTCACTATATCCGCTTCCCGGACCCCGCATTCACTATATCCGGTCTCCTCGGACCCTGCATTCACTATATCCGCTCTCCCCGGACCCCGCATTCACTGTATCCGCTCTCCCCGGACCTTGCATTCACTATATCCGCTCTCCCCGGACCCCGCATTCACTGTATCCGCTCTCCCCGGGCCCTGCATTCACTATATCCGCTGTCCCCGGACCCTGCATTCACTATATCTGGTCTACCCGGACCCTGCATTCACTATATCCGCTCCCCCCGGACCCTGCATTCACTATATCCGCTCTCCCCGGACCCGCATTTACTATATTCGCTCTCCCCGGACCCTGCATTCACTATATCTGGTCTCCCCGGACCCTGCATTCACTATATCTGGTCTCCCCGGACCCCGCATTCACTATATCTGGTCTCCCCGGACCCTGCATTCACTATATCTGGTCTCCCCGGAACCCGCATTCACTATATCTGGTCTCCCCGGACCCTGCATTCACTATATCTGGTCTCCCCGGACCCCGCATTCACTATATCTGGTCTCCTCGGACCCTGCATTCACTATATCCGCTCTCCCCGGACCCCGCATTCACTGTATCCGCTCTCCCCGGACCCCGCATTCACTATATCCGCTCTCCCCGGACCCTGCATTCACTATATCCGCTCTCCCCGGACACCGCATTCACTATATCCGCTCTCCCCGGACCCCGCATTCACTATACTCGCTCTCCCCGGACCCTGCATTCACTATATCTGCTCTCCCCGGACCCCGCATTCACTATATCCACTCTCCCCGGACCTTGCATTCACTATATCCGCTCTACCCGGACCCCGCATTCACTATATCCGCTCTCCCCGGACCCCGCATTCACTATATCTGGTCTCCTCGGACCCTGCATTCACTATATCCGCTCTCCCCGGACCCTGCATTCACTATATCCGCTCTCCCTGGACCCCGCATTCACTATATCCGCTCTCCCCGGACCCTGCATTCACTATATCCGCTCTCCCCGGACCCCGCATTCACTATATCCGCTCTCCCCGGACCCTGCATTCACTATATCTGGTGTCCCCGGACCCTGCATTCACTATAGCTGCTCTCCCGGACCCCGCATTCACTATATCCGCTCTCCCCGGACCCTGCATTCACTATATCCTCTCTTTCCGGACCCTGCATTCACTATATCCGCTCTCCCCGGACCCCGCATTCACTATATCCGCTCTCCCCGGACCCCGCATTCACTATATCCGCTCTCCCCGGACCCCGCATTCACTATATCCACTCTCCCCGGACCTTGCATTCACTATATCCGCTCTCCCCGGACCCCGCATTCACTATATCTGGTCTCCTCGGACCCTGCATTCACTATATCCGCTCTCCCCGGACCCTGCATTCACTATATCCGCTCTCCCTGGACCCCGCATTCACTATATCTGCTCTCCCCGGACCTTGCATTCACTATATCCGCTCTCCCCGGACCCCGCATTCACTATATCCGCTCTCCCCGGACCCTGCATTCACTATATCTGGTGTCCCCGGACCCTGCATTCACTATAGCTGCTCTCCCGGACCCCGCATTCACTATATCCGCTCTCCCCGAACCCTGCATTCACTATATCCTCTCTTTCCGGACCCTGCATTCACTATATCCGCTCTCCCCGGACCCTGCATTCATTATATCTGGTCTCCCCGGACCCCGCATTCACTATATCTGCTCTCTCCGGACCCCGCATTCACTATATCCGCTCTCCCCGGACCCTGCATTCACTATATCCGCTCTCCCCGGACCCAGCATTCACTATATCCGCTCTCCCCGGACCCCGCATTCACTATATCCGCTCTCCCCGGACCCCGCATTCACTATATCCGCTCTCCCCGGACCCCGCATTCACTATATCCGCTCTCCCCGGACCCCGCATTCACTATATCCGCTCTCCCCGGACCCCGCATTCACTATATCCGCTCTCCCCGGACCCCGCATTCACTATATCCGCTCTCCCCGGACCCCGCATTCACTATATCCGCTTCCCGGACCCTGCATTCACTATATCTGGTGTCCCCTGACTCTGCATTCACTATATCCGCTCTCCCCGAACCCCGCATTCACTGTATCCGCTCTCCCCGGACCCCGCATTCACTATATCCGCTCTCCCCGGACCCTGCATTCACTATATCTGCTCTCCCCGGACCCCGCATTCACTATATCCACTCTCCCCGGACCTTGCATTCACTATATCCGCTCTACCCGGACCCCGCATTCACTATATCCGCTCTCCCCGGACCCCGCATTCACTATATCTGGTCTCCTCGGACCCTGCATTCACTATATCCGCTCTCCCCGGACCCTGCATTCACTATATCCGCTCTCCCTGGACCCCGCATTCACTATATCTGCTCTCCCCGGACCTTGCATTCACTATATCCGCTCTCCCCGGACCCCGCATTCACTATATCCGCTCTCCCCGGACCCTGCATTCACTATATCTGGTGTCCCCGGACCCTGCATTCACTATAGCTGCTCTCCCGGACCCCGCATTCACTATATCCGCTCTCCCCGGACCCTGCATTCACTATATCCTCTCTTTCCGGACCCTGTATTCACTATATCTGTTCTCCCCGGACCCTGCATTCATTATATCTGGTGTCCCCGGACCCCGCATTCACTATATCCGCTCTCCCCGGACCCTGCATTCACTATATCCGGTCTCCCCGGACCCTGCATTCATTATATCTGGTCTCCCCGGACCCTGCATTCACTATATCTGCTCTCTCCGGACCCCGCATTCACTATATCCGCTCTCCCCGGACCCTGCATTCACTATATCCGCTCTCCCCGGACCCTGCATTCACTATATCCGCTCTCCCCGGACCCTGCATTCACTATATCCGCTCTCCCCGGACCCCGCATTCACTATATCCGGTCTCCCGGACCCTGCATTCACTATATCCGCTCTCCCCGAACCCCGCATTCACTGTATCCGCTCTCCCCGGACCCCGCATTCACTATATCCGCTCTCCCCGGACCCTGCATTCACTATATCTGCTCTCCCCGGACCCCGCATTCACTATATCCACTCTCCCGGACCTTGCATTCACTATATCCGCTCTACCCGGACCCCGCATTCACTATATCCGCTCTCCCCGGACCCCGCATTCACTATATCTGGTCTCCTCGGACCCTGCATTCACTATATCCGCTCTACCCGGACCCCGCATTCACTATATCCGCTCTCCCCGGACCCCGCATTCACTATATCTGGTCTCCTCGGACCCTGCATTCACTATATCCGCTCTCCCTGGACCCCGCATTCACTATATTTGCTCTCCCCGGACCTTGCATTCACTATATCCGCTCTCCCCGGACCCCGCATTCACTATATCCGCTCTCCCCGGACCCTGCATTCACTATATCTGGTGTCCCCGGACCCTGCATTCACTATAGCTGCTCTCCCGGACCCCGCATTCACTATATCCGCTCTCCCCGGACCCTGCATTCACTATATCCTCTCTTTCCGGACCCTGTATTCACTATATCTGTTCTCCCCGGACCCTGCATTCATTATATCTGGTGTCCCCGGACCCCGCATTCACTATATCCGCTCTCCCCGGACCCTGCATTCACTATATCCGGTCTCCCCGGACCCTGCATTCATTATATCTGGTCTCCCCGGACCCTGCATTCATTATATCTGGTCTCCCCGGACCCCGCATTCACTATATCCGGTCTCCCGGACCCTGCATTCACTATATCCGGTCTCCCCGGACCCCCTGCATTCACTATATCTGCTCTCCCCGGACCCCGCATTCACTATATCCGCTCTCCCCGGACCCTGCATTCACTATATCCGGTCTCCCCAGACCCTGCATTCACTATATCCGCTCTCCCCGGACCCTGCATTCACTATATCCGCTCTCCCCGGACCCCGCCTTCACTATATCCGCTCTCCCCGGACCCTGCATTCACTATATCCGCTCTCCCCGGACCCTGCATTCACTATATCCGCTCTCCCCGGACCCTGCATTCACTATATCCGGTCTCCCCGGACCCTGCATTCACTATATCCGCTCTCCCCGGACCCTGCATTCACTATATCTGCTCTCCCCGGACCCTGCATTCACTATATCCGCTCTCCCCGGACCCTGCATTCACTATATCCTCTCTCCCCGGACCCTGCATTCACTATATCTGGTCTCCCCGGACCCTGCATTCACTATATCTGGTCTCCCTGGACCCTGCATTCACTATATCCGCTCTCCCCGGACCCCGCATTCACTATATCTGGTCTCCCCGGACCCCGCATTCACTATATCCGGTCTCCCCGGACCCTGCATTCACTATATCCGCTCTCCCCGGACCCTGCATTCACTATATCCGCTCTCCCCGGACCCTGCATTCACTATATCTGGTCTCCCACAGTACACAGAACATGGAAATGCAAATATTTTAGTAAATATAAACTGCTAAATACCTTTTACTCATCAGCAGTATATATCTTGTGACTTCTTTCAGTGTCCAGCAGAGCACTGGTTAAAGCTTGTAGAAGGAGTTCACATCTAGGAAGATGCAGAACCCCTGACCCTCTCCTGGACAGAGCTGATTGGCCCTGTGCTGATCACATGCACTCTCCCAAGAGAAAAAAAAAACTCTCTAGCAATACACACTAAACTGAGCATGTGCAGAGTGTCTCCACACAATATGTCTTATTGGGAGATAAGAGGGGAGTCACTGGAAGAAGGGGATGATCAGAAAAGACAGGATCAAACAGTCTTTTTACACAATGCGGAGCATTAACCCCTTAGGTCCCACAGTGAGTATAACAAGCATGCTTTACTGCCTCTACAGACTGATTGGACTGTTGTGGGTTCAGGCACACTTCAAGCATTATTTCAAAGTGAACAGTGAAAGTCTCATTTGGCCACATGTGGTATTCAAACTCTCCAACCTCTTGAGTGAAGGAGAACTTCTCTTACGTGGCTCCATCGGCTAGTTAGACCTGCGTGGCCCCCCCTCTGGGAACAAGCAATGAGGTAATATTCATCAATCCTGGAGTGCCGGAGCATGTAGACAGGAATGCAAGTTGTGCAGGAAGTATTTTCATTTCCAGAGGTGGTGTGAAAGCAAATGGTATCTTAATGCCCATAATTTATCAAAGCTGTGCGAGAGGAATAATGGAGAGTGGACATTGAGACAAATGGCTCCATAATACACCATAATTGAGACACAGATGCTGGAATCAATGGCCTTTTCTCTGTACAGGAAAAAAAAAAAAAACATGAACTGTATTAACACTACTATCAAAAGTAGATAAATAGTTTTTTTTTCCCCCTTTATGTTGGAAGACTAGAATCAGAACTGTTATTATATGTCTGATAAACGGGACGCTGGAAGTGAACGAGACATGGAGGGGAAATTGGGTTATCTCTTATGGAAGATAAGCACTCAGCACTATTTGTATCGAAAATTGTAACAAAATGTAACAATTTGGTCACTTTAGAAAAATGACAACAGTTTTTTTTATTTTTTTTTGCAAAAAAAGTGGCAGACACTACTTTTTTTTTTCTTCACATACATCGGGAGGATGTCAAATTCGTTGTTTTAGAAATACAACCTTTAAAGCCCAACTTTGGGTATTAGACAATATCTACACTTGTAATGGATGTCTCTGCGAGGGTTAAATACTCATACTGCCTGGACACTGTGGCTCTACAGATATATATCTAGGATCTATTTATCCTCCAGGAATATATTCAAGATATGTATGTTCGCTAAAGGTGTTTCCAGGTTGTAGGTATCCTCCATAAATGTCACCAAGATGTACTTATCTTGTAGAAATGTCCATAGGATGTATCTATCCTCTGGGAAAGTCTGCAAGATATGCATGACCTCTAATTGTGTTTCCAGGTTGTAATTATCCTCCATAGATGTCACCAAGATGTACCTATCTTCTAGAGATGTCTCCATGATATACAGTTGCAAGAAAAAGTATGTGAACCCCTTGGGATTACGTGGAGTTTTGCATGAATTGGGCATAAAATGTGCTCTGAACGTCATCTAAGTCACAACAATAGAAGAACACAGTCTGCTGAACATAATAATATACAAACATTAGATGTTGCCATGGTTTAATTGCACATAACATGTAAACATTCACAGTGCAGGGAGGAAAAAGTATGTGAACCTTTGGACTTAATAACTGGTTGACCCTCCTTTGGCAGCAATAACCTCAACCAAACATTTCCTGTAGTTGCAGATCAGACCCGCACAA